AATACTTTATTTTAGTGATAAAGATAAAGTGATCTGTTTATATTTCACTAAGTGTTAGTGGTTAATATTTGGTACTTTAGTAAAATTAGATTATGGCAATGCTCTACGGTGAACAATTGTTCGCAAAAGCACCTGATTTGTGAGACCTATTCTATTCTATTCAGTTTCCTATTCAATTCAGTTTTTACACTAAATATTAAGAACTTTTGTATAATTTTATTTTATAATAATGAGAATGTATCCAATGTTTGTAAATTCTAAAATTTATGCTATTAAAATTATAAAAGTAACAAAATCAAATGCCGAAATACAAAACCGATCCAATATTTATTATAATAGTACGTGAAGCAAAAACTTTGTATCCCTTTTTACGAAAATTGCGCGGACTTATAGAGAATATAGAGAAGAAGTGCACAATGCTAATATTTTTTTAAACAATGCATAAAAGATACATTAAATCAATAAAGAAAACATTACACACACTATACTATGTATTTGACGCACACACGCATGCATACTATTTATTGTCAAACTTTTGTTCTTGACGTCTGTTGTCAAATTGAAATTAAATATTGTTTGTCTTTGTTAATATTTTTTATAGTGTAGTCTTGACGAAATTTGTGATTATAGAAGTATAAAATACAATCATAATAGTGTATAAACTTACAATTATAATGAATTATAGTCGAATTTCGACTACTGCGGGTTCTCTAGTTTATTATAATTTTATGATTTTGTCACATAATATATTATTATGTACGTAATGCAGCACGCAAAAGACGAAAAAACAAAACCGCACAGTGATGTCGATGGTAGCCCAGAACCAGTCGATGCGGTCACTAGACTCGTCTATTTCGAAACTTTCTAATACCTAGTTCATCAACAAATTCATTATGTCGTAAAACGACGTGCGCGAGACCGAAATATCGCGGGACTCGTAAAACCGCTCGTAAAGACGTTTGTTTACTAATTCGAGTGGGGCAGGTGGGGCGGAGACCGCACGCTAGGGATGCTGGTAATAATAGCGGCTGCAGCTACAGTTATCAATAATATACGAACGAATACGCAGTACCGAGTCTGTGAGATAATACTAACTACAGGAAGAGTCGACTTCGAGCACGACAGGCAGCTTGTTAAACGAGATAACGTATACTATTCGAAACGTTTCTTATCTCGGATGTTCTGTAGTGATTTTCTGAAATCTGTTCAGTAATACCGGAGCGGTCTCGTTAATATTATAAGTAGCCTGCGAAGACGTCGCCAGCCTCCAAATTGCCTCAGCAGGTCACAAGTTTTAATGAGGCGAAATTCCCCGTCGGTTCGGCGTCGACATCGCCTTAAACGCAACCTGTTCGTTAGCACAAAAACGGGCCACGCTAACACGCGATTAGAAAACACCCCGAGTACTGGGGCACAACGAATGAATCTTACTATCGATTGCTTTGTGTAACTAACTATACATAGGTGAAGAGGTATGAAATGCGAACGTTTAAAAAAGTTGATTTCGGTAGATAATGAAATTTTTCGGGCATTTGTGAATACCACTTTAAAAGATATCTTGTTCTGGTTGTATGAACCAATGTCAAACCAAATGCTTTTTGACAAGTGTGTGACCCCATTAGATGCAAACAAGTGGTAATTGAAAAGAGGCATGTTTGGCGCGTAAGCCGCATGAGTTAGAAATTCTCAGATTAGTGCTTCCAATGCGTCGCGATGAAGTGTTGCAATATGTGATGAAGCATGAAAAAATATGACTGTTTTGGCTCTTTCAGTATTTGACTTTTTTTTCAGACCTCGAACGGTTAAAATTGGCCAGTTCTCAAACATAGGGCATCGTCTTTCGGTCTTGCTATCGATTTTGCAGACTGGAGGGCGTCTGGAAACTACATATTTTTTGGGCCTGGGCATTTTGACAAAAAATACCCCTTTCTTCCCCGTGTATTGAGCAAGAAAAAATTCCCCTGTATTTTTGAGCCTTTCCATTGGCCTTTCCTTCTACTCATTTGGTATAACTACACCAGTCTTCTGAATCTTTCTTTCGTAGGCGATCGGAACAGCTTGTTATTTTTCTATATGTGAATCATCTTTGTCCAACAATGCATGCAGTTCATACTTTTAAACATTATAAACTGGTACTCTTGGTATTTTATGTCTATTACTGAGCATTGCTTTTTCTTCAGCAATGGCGATTCAACCAGCTGTGGCTTAGAGTCACTTAAAATACTTATGTTTTAAGTGTCACGACAGTCTGTCACCGTTCATTAGTGGGTAATAAGGAAAATAATAATTTAATATCTCTTTGTTTTTGCAGTACCAAACGATGATAAATTTTAAATAGACAGTATAAATAAAAAAAAGACCTGCAATTCGTTCTGTACTGATGGTAGGGCATCTTGTGAGCCTACACTGGTAGGTACCATCACTTTGTCTATTTCTGAAGTGAAGCAGTAATGCGTTTCGGTTTGAAGGACGAGGCAGTTGTTGTACTGTAAAAAACTGAGACTTAAAACTCTTTTTTTTTTTTTTTTATGATTGAAAGTTTACTGGTGGCCCGAAGGCCTTTCCAGTTTCACCAGGACAGGTGGGCGAGCAAAGGCTCAGCCAAGAGGGGTGGGATTTGCTAACAACTGCCCGAGCGCCTCCGAAGGAGACCTAACAACTCAAGAGCAATTGTTTCGCGAATGAATCTACTACCGGATCGGAATCGCGACCCGCTGAGAAGATCCGGCGAGAAACTCAGCGGGCTGATGCANAGATGTACCACGAACACAGAAACAACAAAAGGAAACAAAACAAATAAAAAATTCCAGAAAGAGCACTTAGTCGGCAGATGTACCACAAACACAGGCCGCGCGAACAATGGCCGGGCTAACAAAAGCCGGGCGAACAAAGACCGGGCGATCGAGTGGACGATGAGCACGTCCGCACGTGACGGGTGCCTCTATCGGAATGACTTAAAACTCATATCACAAGGTGAGTGACGGCATTTAAGTTGATGTCTACGGGCTCCGGTAACAATTTAAAATTAGGTGGGCTGCGATTTACCATCAAAACAATAATAACATTATAATAATAATAGTGCAAAAAACTAGACAGACATTTTTAGCTTAAAAGTAGTGCCAAAAAAAACTATACTTAAATACATTTTCAGCTTAAATTAGGGACATAATTATTAATGATTTATAATTTAAAAAAATATCGCAAATGAAGACAGATTCCTCTCAGTGTAACCGCCGCTTAGCCTAAAAGATGGGCCCTCATTTGTGGCGGGTTCCTCTGTGTTGTTGTCACATTAGCGAATAACTGCGTCGCGAACCGATACGTTAATGATGTCGGCGAGACGTCTATCCTGAAAAAAACCCCTTCTGCTGCATCCGAGACAATGCGACAGTCGAGAGCTCATTAACTAAAATCAATTACCGCTGACGCCGTTAACGCGGCATCAGCGATTTTCATCACTCGTAAATACTCTTTCAATGCGGTTCACGTTTTAATATACCGTTGTTGCACTTAGTAATGCAATTTTACTTATTCGAATCAAAACAAATATGTAAATCACTTGAAAAGAAATCTTCAAATTATTTACGGGATTTTTCTAAAAGTTGCCAAATATTTTGTTATCTATTGATTGTCGCTTAAGAATTCTCAATAACCAAGGATATCTCTGAAAGTAATCGTTTGATCAATATAACATGTTATGTTTGCGTATAGTACTTGTTTGAAATTATAGATTTCTACATACTTTTTATCTCCTCTAATCGATCTCATTGCCTACCTGATTTTGAGTGTTTACCGAAGACCATAAATACTACATCATTGTCAGTAATAGGCATGATTGCGGAACCTACTCAAGCGGGTTTTTCCAATACGCCTTACCTATAACCATTGTCACCTTATTGTTCTGAGCTGTTGCGTGGTCACCGTATCTTGTCTGGTAATACAAAAGTTACAGTGGAGATATGAATGGCAGATACCTAAATCAGTGCTAATGAAAATGTTATTAATTTGATAAGGATCGAATGTTATTGATTCTGTAAGAACAAATTTCGCAAACCCAGATCTAGAACTAAGGCAGCTAGCGTATCGGTATCAATCGTGATTCTTGTAACAGCTGTGCACTATCTTATCGATTTTTGCGTTTTATTCTTTAACGCATTAATTCTTGTAATTAATTCTTTAATGTTATAAACCACGTGTACCTGAGGCGTGTTCACGGATGCTCATAATTAGCAATGTTCATATTAAAACGGCACGAGAAATGCCTAACAGTTTCGTTTAAGATACATTGCTTGCTATTTTTTTAAATAAATGAAATAATTAATGATCATAACAAATAATTAAGTGGAGACAACTTGTGAAAGCCCTATGTGCCAGCGGGGTATGGTACCCTACTACAACAACAACAACAACAACATTAAACAAAGAATTTACCAGTATTCCATTTCGCATCACCAACTTTAAATTATAGCAAAAAGCCTTTCGTGACCGAAAAAGAAACGCTAAAACTTCTGGCCATTATATCTATTCACATTATACACATAATTTTTGAAACAGCGAAACAACCTATTGCTGGTAATGACGGTCGTAAAACAATTGAAGGTCAAACGTGTTATTGACGCATAAAGTAATTAACCTTATTTGTAAAACAATAAAGTCGAATTCAGCATTTCAAGCACGGGCAAGAAAATTGAGTTCATGTTTATTCATGAGCTCAGATTGTTCCGTTTATAATCTACAACAGAATCTACTTACGGCCGTTTTCAATAACGTATCTGAGTTTTCGGATAGATAGCTATCTCCGAATATCAGCAAGAGCGTATCTATCCTTAGTTTGCGTTTCACAATCACGGATAAGTGCTATCTCTCTTTAACCAACAGTAGATAGCTTCTTCCCTCCGATTTATCCGAGCCTCTTGATACGTTTCGTTCTACTACAAATACGAAACAACATCAGGATCAAGACTTATTTTATTTTATTCTAAATTATAACTATAATTTAACCAGCATATTGTAGACTATCATAAACACATTTGTTTATAACAAAAAGTAATAAAAACATATGTAGATTTTTTTAAATTGGACGTATTGCTATTTTTATCCTAGTCGAAATTATGAAACGAAACGTTTTGACAGTCCGTTTGCCAATAAGCAGTGATCAGTTTCTTTTGTTTGTTTTTCTATTGTTTACCTACTATATTAGATGATGACTTACCTCCAAAACGCTTTAAAACTTTCGTTTATAATTCTAAGTGTGTTTATAATTAAAGAGCTACAGTGAAATAAAATGAATTCTGTAAGTATCTATGAACTACATTGATAATAATAATTTTACTTTGAAAACTTTGAGTTCAAGTTTAGAAAATATATCTTTTTCAGTCAAGAAAGGCAGCACCCATGACAAAAGATGAGACGATGATTCTAGCAGAACTTGTGGCGGCGAAAAAACATTTCAATAATAAGGCAACAAATGCCACAAACAATAAATTGAAGGAGCAGGCTTGGCAAACCCTTGTAAATGATTTTAATTCGTCGATTCGTCGTTTCCCACGAACTCCATCGCAGCTTCGACTAAAATGGGAAAACTTAAAGAACGCTACGGCAACATAAGAAACAACCTTAGTAAGGTTAGTATAATTAGTTGATTGTTTGTCTCTAATAACACATTGATAAACATGATTTTTTCTTCAGGTTGCCGTAGTATTTGAAATAATTATGCTCTTTGTTACAGGCTGGAGGTGGTAAGGATTGCAGATGAAATTTTGGATAAAGCATGCACATTGTTGTAGGTCACATATAATATTTTTAACACTTTTACAGCCAAGCGGAAACAAGATGGAAGAAAAGAAATGCAAGGCTAGCATAGGGACAATGCATTAGCAGAATATCTAATAGCAAAAAAGAGACTTGACTTGGAAAATAAAGAAAAGGAGATTGTTGTAGCAAAAGTTAAGTTAGATTTAGATAATTTAAAAAATTAAAAATTACTTAAAAGGAATATTAAATTTCATAAATTAAGTAGGCAATAATAATTTTATGTTAGATAGTTTTTTAAGTATATGTACAAATTCTAAATTAAATATCTCGCATTGTACTAACTACCATGTAATTATCATTTTGGAAAATAAAAAATAGTCAAATTATCTTTGGAGTTTATTTTATAAATTATCTTTGGAAGCAATTATTTATAAGTACATAGTTGTATTTCAGATGTAAGTTTTAAAGTTTTAAAGTTAAAAAATTGTTACGAACAATTATATTATTTTCCTGTAATGTATCTGCGACTGAAATTTCTAATTCTAATTCTTCTAAATTCATACTTCTGACGATATTATGCAGCATGGCAGCTATAATAACAGCTTGCATATTTTCTAGTTTTAATCTACTTTTCAATGATATACAGGGAGTCTTCTTTTACAAACACCAATGCATCTGAAAATTATACATTATTCGCTTAAATTATTTTACAATACAGTATAACAAGCTCTTAACTAAAANTCTGTACAATACGCGGTCTTATCGCTAAAAGCAATCTCTTCTAGACAACCGTTTCCCAATACATTTTTGAAAATTTATTAACGTGCGTAAAAACATTGAAGAATTCTCCAGAGTCTGCGTTTTGCACAATGCGAATACTAGGAACAAACATAGGCTTGCGTTGCCGGCAGCTCGAATTCAGAAAATGAGCAACTCTTTTAGGGGGCTTGGTGTACAACTTTTCAACAAGATCCCACTAAACAATCAATTACTACCTGTTCATAGAATTAAGAAAACTGTCAAGGAACGTTTGTGCAACAAGGCATATTATAAAGTTAAGGATTATTTACTAGATAGCACTACGTGGGAATGAGGCGCTCGCTCCTGGCCTTTTCATTTTTCATTACTATTAATTTTTATTTAATTGTATTTTTTTACTTGTTTTTTCCTTTATTGTTATTAATTGTTTATTCCTTTATTTTTATTTATTTAAAAAAAGAAAATATTTGATTAAAAAAAAGGCCGCCGAGTTTGTTTCGCCGGTTCTTCTCAGGACTGTAGCTTTTTTTGGAACCGGTGGTAGAGTTAACATTGTTATTTGTATTTTGACATACAACAAGTGTGTCATACTGACATCTAAGTTGAAATAAATGATTTTGAATTGAATTTGAACTTATCTTATCTTATCTTAGCTTAGTTTAGCTTAGCTTAGCTTAGCTTAGCTTAGCTTAGCTTAGCTTAGCTTAACTTAGCTTAGCTTAGCTTAGCTTAGCTTAGCTTAGCTTAGCTTAGCTTAACTTAGCTTAGCTTAGCTTAGCTTAGCTTAGCTTAGCTTAGCTTAGCTTAGCTTAGAATACACTTTATTCCGCACACCAAAACACAATTTACATTCAAGAAACAATCACGATATATTAGTACAATAGGGCGGTCTTATCGCTTAAAGCAATCTCTTCTAGACAACCGTTTCCCAATACATTTTTGAAAATTTATTGTACGTGCGTAAAAACATTGAAGAATTCTCCAGAGTCTGCGTTTTGCACAATGCGAACACTAGAAACAAACATAGGCTTGCGTTACCGGCAGCTCGAATTCAGAAAATAAGCAACTCTTTTAGGGGGCTGGGTGTACAACTTTTCAACAAGATCCCACTAAACATTCAATTACTTACTTGTCAAGGAACGTTTGTGCAACAAGGCATATTATAAAGTTAATAGGATAAGATAAGAACTAATTTGTATTTTACTAACTTATTCAGAATAATGATAATAATAATGTTGTATATTAATGATAATATCACTATAACATAATAAATTTTGTTTTCGTTATTATTAATAAACGTAATAATTAAAAAATAAATTACTTAGATAAATTACTATTAAGAAGCTTTCAAGCGGTTCAAAGAAAAGCTTAGTTAAAAAAAAATGTTTTCGCGATAAATGTATGAGAAGATCATCAGGTAATTCTACATCATTTACCGATATGAAATCGGTATTAAAGTAAACAATGCATTCCTTTAAGAAACATTAATACTTGTAAGTAAATTCACAGACACTCAAATTTTACATTTTTTTTAATAATTCTTATGTTCTAATCATTTTTTTTTTTTTTTTTTTTTTTATGATTGAAGGATTACTGGTGGCCCGGAGGCCTTTCCAGTTTCACCAGGACAGGTGGGCGAGCAAAGGCTCAGCCAGGAGGGGTGGGATTTGCTAACAGCTACCCGAGCGCCTCCGAAGGAGACCTAACAGCTCAAGAGCAGCTGCTTCGCGAATGAATCTACTACCGGATCGGAATCGCGACCCGCTGAGAAGATCC